GCTGCCCTTAAAGGCAATGTGAGCGTCCATTCCCATTGGATAACGGAGAATTGTACACCCGGAAGTAAGTATTCCCCTTACTGTCGATTGATTTTACAGTGATATCTGCACTACTCATCGACTAAAAAACACCAGATTATCCTTGTTAATTACACAACATTGATTGGTTTAAATTGTGTGCAATGCTTTTGTATTTTTCCCCTTCGATTCGGAGAAACAAATATTTTTTCGGAGTAAAGGATGGCAGAAGACCATAAAATCCCAAGCTATCGTTTAGGACTACACCATGTGCTCTGTTTGACAAACCCCGTGATTAGTTCTCAAGCTCTGTGATTGGTTGACCTCCAACTGCATTCCATATGAAAAAAAAACGTTTCGTAAAAGATCAAATCATACTTTATTCAGCAGTGCTTGCTTTACTCTTTGAAAGTCATCACATGAATGCATTGTAATAAATGGTTCGGCTGCATTAAATATATTACACATCTGTCGTAGTTCTTTATTTTTATTTATCTACAGAGATCGGGCTCAGAATAGACCGGAAACTATTCTTTTACCGTTCAGTTTGAATTTCACAATAAAGTTAGTAGTAATATTTTGTTTTGATATTATTGTTTTTTATTAACTACTAGACCGCTGGGTCATGTTAAGACCATCTTTTCTGTGTTGCTGTGGGTTTTTTCCATCGCTTTTGTGTTACAAATATCAAAATAATAACAAAATATATCCGTCGTAAACTAAACCAGAAACAGCAGTATATTTGATTTTGTTAACACTGTAAACTTGACAGCTTTTTAACCCAAACCACCTACTGGTTAAAGCACGCTATTACATGTTTAGAGTAATTGCAATGCAGGTAGATTGTGTTGCTTTTTAATGACTGTTTTAAAATGCCTTTTTCTTAATGTCTTTCATTTTTGTAAAGCACTTTTGAATGTGTTATATTTGATGAAAACATTTAAATATTAAGAGTACATGCAAAATAGTGGGAAAGTAGAAGGTCAATGATATAAATATATAATAGAAAATATCAAGAAGATACTGTGAAATTATATATAGAATAAAACAGTTTAGTGCCGGATGTTCAAAGATATTAATAGGAGGATGTGCAAAACAATACAAACTAATAAGGCTTTATTTAAACATTAAAGAATGCCTTAGGTTAAGGTCTTTTAAATAAGAAAAAAAGCTTTGGGGGTAACTACAGATAAATATTAAGTCTGACAAAGTACTTAACGTCTAATATATTGCATGGTTTGTTTTGGGACTTGACAATCAACTTTCCTGCAATGTTAACTATGTTGAAGCGCTTATTTTAACCGATATTATACATATTTATTATACTCTTATGAGATGTATGTAGATAGAATAAGAAATGTGCAGAATACAACAGTTTAATGGTGGAAGTATACACACATATTGACAGGTGTCTTGTAATGCACTGTTGAGGAACCTGTGACACAAGTTTTTCATTCATTGCATAACTACACAGTAGTTGTGTATGATATGTGAATAAACCTTTGAAAACCTTGAAATCTTGAAAGGGATGTGCAAAACAGCCATTATATACAGTCTTAAATGAACGATTAGAGAATAACGAGAAATGAATAATACTTTATAGAGATCTGCAGATACATGTTTTGTCTTCTCAAGCACCCACTATCAAATGTCTCGCTTGATTGTTGGCACTTGACAATCACCTTCACTGAATTGTACTCAGGTGTAACTAAAGTCTGATTCAAGGGTTGTTTATATTTCACAGCATTTATCCAAATCTGTAAAGTGACTAAAATAAATGTAGTGGAGTAAAAAGACCAGGTTAACCTTAAAGAAAGCCTGACAGACTCAAATGAAGGGAATAGTACGACTACGCCATAGTTTCAGGTAGGGGTTTCACAACTACCAATATTTAGTAGTCGACACGTTTTTCAAAATAGTAGTCGACTAGTCGACTAGTCGTTACGTCATAATAAAGACACACAAAGAGAGGTGTACAACTGTATTTTATATTGGAACTCATACAGTAACATTAAACACTGCATTTTAATTTGTGTTACATGGCTGACTAAATAACAAACAGTAACTGGACTCACCAAAATCGGCAGCAAAAAACTCTTGTTTACATAAATGCCACGTAAATCCAGTGCGCAACAGCGCATTCGCTGTCCTCCACGATAGCGTCCACCTTTCCATATTTTTGGTTTGGTTTGAACACCAACGCATCGACATGTGAGGGAAGGAGGCTTGACCGCTTTCGGGTGACAGTGTTGCCAGCCAGGGAAAAAACCCTCTCACTCGGGGTGCTTTTGGCTGGAATAGCCAGGTAGCTTCTCGAAAGCGGGGGAAGCGGTGCACGTTTTCTGCCCACCACTCCAGTGGATTATCCATTGCGAGGATATGCGGTGTCCGCTGGCAGTAATCCCGTAGCTCATCATCCGCATCACTGTTGACCCGTGTTTTCTTGCTGTTCGTTTGCCTCTGTTCAGTGCTGACGCCGGTCCGTTGCTCACTGGTGCTAGCATTACTGCTAGTGCTAGCTGTCGGCAGCGGGTGTTTCATCTTCAGATGGTTGCGCATAGCAGATGCATTTGTATTGTACTTCAGTACAGCTGTACACAACTGACACTTCACTGTGGAGTTGGTTACATCTTCGTTGAAGTTCTGCCATACATAAGAATGTCGGACGTGTTTTGGAGCATTTTGCAGCACCTCGTTTACCTCCATTTTTTTCACGACTAGTCGACTAGGGCCTACAGCGCCGACTAGTGGTAAAGGTAGTCGACTAGTCGATTAGTTGGTGAAACCCCTAACACACACACACACACACACACACACAGAACATGAATACATTTACTTTGTGAATAATTATGGGACGTATTTCTTCTTTCCTAGCAATTTTCCTTCATACTTTCTTGCTGTGAAATAGGTCTTAAATTCTATTCAAAAGGTCTTAAAAAGTCTTACATTTGAGTTGGTGAAACCTGCAGGAACCCCCTTACTTAGTGTCACNCACACACACACACACAGAACATGAATACATTTACTTTGTGAATAATTATGGGACGTATTTCTTCTTTCCTAGCAATTTTCCTTCATACTTTCTTGCCGTGAAATAGGTCTTAAATTCTATTCAAAGTGGTCTTAAAAAGGTCTTAAAAAGTCTTACATTTGAGTTGGTGAAACCTGCAGGAACCCCCTTACTTAGTGTCACAGAGACTGCCATTATCAAGCTTTATAGAGTTTGAACATGTTATTGTTTTGCTTATCTTGTCTTCTTGTCCTCCCTCAGGTCAACCCATGAAGTGTAACCTCCATATTCAGGGCAATGTCATCACTTCTGATCAGCCCATTCTATTGTAAGTGAGCCCACCTGGCTTCATTTGTTCATTTCACATTGATCTGTACTTACTTCACATACTCTATTTCCTCTGCACTCGATCTTAACTCAATCTAAACCACTCGTATATTTTAATTATCAAGAAAAGTTACATTGCTTCTACTTAATTAGCAAATACTTGTTGTACATTGAGCCTGCCTGTGATGAGGCAATTACTTGGACCACATTTTGTATTTAGGTTATTCAGTCTAATCAGTGGCCATTCTGTTTCCAATTTGGCCACTCCAATACGGTTTGATTAAAGTAAATAATGTAATTACTTTTAGCTTCAGGGAAATGTGAACGGCATTGGCTACACTTTAAGAATGTAAGGCTCTTTGCATTGCAACTGTCACTGCATTTTTTTAAAACAAAGTTGATGTTGTTGCCAGTCAGCGTGTCCGGGACATTTCAATATCCCTGGACAAATGAGAGAAATGAATCAAACAGTATGAGCTCAAAAACAACTGATATGAAGGCATGTATGTGTTATTGAAAAGTAGGCTTTCAAATAGATCCTGTCCTGTCACTATGACACTGCCAAGGCACACNGTCAGCGTGTCCGGGACATTTCAATATCCCTGGACAAATGAGAGAAATGAATCAAACAGTATGAGCTCAAAAACAACTGATATGAAGGCATGTATGTGTTATTGAAAAGTAGGCTTTCAAATAGATCCTGTCCTGTCACTAACCTCCTGCATAACGCTCAAAACAAATAAATACTAGGCAAAGAAATCAACTTGGCTCTTAGCCTACATATTGTCATCTACATTTGAACAGAATAAAAACGTGTAAGATATACTTTATTGATCACAAACTGGGAAAATAAGAGTAGAAACATCTCAAAAGAGAAAATAAAACCAAACCAAAAAGAAAATCTGTACAAGTTGACCGTGAAAGATAACAATCTGTACACTATCTGACAAATAAACACGGAAAGGCTAAACCAACATACATGTAGGCAAGGCAAGGCTATTTATACAGCACTGTCAACACAAGGCAAATCAAAGTGCTTTACAAAAATGAAACACATTAGAAACATAACATGTGTCGGCCTGTACCACCTCATACCAGTTTAATGACCAGCTGACAGAAACACTATATGGGTTATATATATATTTGATGCCTTTTCGTGCTCTTCCAGGAGGCTCAGTGACACCCCGGGCGCCAGCAGCAGCGGCACAAAGAAAGACGGCCTCCCCCCCTCCCTCATGTCTCGCACCGCGGGACAGCGAGCCTCCTCTCAGCCGACCCCCGAAGTGGATCCTCAGACGATCCTCAAAGCTCTGTTCAAGTCCACCTCTCAGTCCAGCTCCTCCAGCGAGAGCCCCAGCGCGCAGGCCACCGCCTTCCGCATCAAGATATAGATCCAGTGTCTGTTCATTCACACATTACTGCTTTCTAAGTGTTCCCGCACAAACGCCCACATTCTACTCATGCGAAACAGGTTTTTTTACCCATTTGATAAACGTGACTTCTCCAGACGAGACATTTTGCGGATGCACAACATGTTGATGATGATGTTTGTTCTTGATTAGTGGAAGGAAAGTGTGATGTGATTTGTTGTTTAATCCAATGTCTTGGGGGATGCCAAATTATTATTATATTGGGATTTTTTTTTTCTGTCAATGCAATGCCAGCCCATTTGGATAAGTTTTTTTAAATACTAAATTAGAGATACATTTTGTGTAAGGCTCGTCCACACAGTTGCGTTCAGGTTTGTCTGTACCTTTTCTGAACAGAAAATTAAGAAGACATTCAATGTGAGTTAATCACTGATGTTCATAAAATGACATGTTTTGTGTTGAACCAGTTTTCAAACAGTCCTATTGTGTTTTTATTTTTTATTTACCGTCTTTGTAGCATCGAGATTGCTGTGCGCCGCGTTTGTGACAGGTTTTACTTGGTTGTCCAGTAAAGAAAGCAGTATGCATATAATTCTTCCTAGTATACATTACACAAGATTTTTGTTCAAAGATTGTAAATTACTTTGTTGCTTTCTTGGTATGTAAGTCTGGAACGGTCAGATCTGTCTGTAAAATGTCAGCATTAAATATCTAGCTTTGTAGATTGCTGTCTGAGTCTTTCCTGCCATGTGATGAAGGATGAAATGCATTCTTCTAGAAACCAGACTAAATGGTTTATTAACAGCATTTATTCTTTCCTACTATCTTTTAGTTTATTTGAATTTCTCGATTCTATAAACTAACCATAGCTGTTCAATTTATATTTGTAGTTAAACAAAATGTAATACATCAACTTTAATATTACCATATGAAATGAAATAGCCACGAAAATTAGACCTATGCTATTGCCTAAAAATAGTTTGATAGGTGACCTTTAATATTACGGTTTTTAGTTATGAGGTTAACTGGAAACTGGACTGTACTGATGTGCTCAACATTTCATAAATAAAATCATTCATGTTTAAAAACAAATGTAATATATCAATCAAAACTTTATTACAGACTCAAGTCCAGATAAAAGATGAATTACATACACAGCATAAAAAAAATCATAGTTTAAGAATAATTTCAATCAGTGTCATACAAAGAGACAACTATACCAATGTCTCCACAGCTGCTGATTGGTAGTGTTTTAGTACTAAACCTTATGTTTGATAAGGCCAAGAGGATTTCATTATCAGTCATTAAGCCGGCAAATACATTTATACATGAGATTTCTTAAAACAACTTTGTTGGTGCACTCAAAGGGCCGGTTGTAACTTTTAAGACTATATAAATATACATATATAAATATTTAATATATATAAAATAATGTATTATATGACATTAGTTTCTCTGAATTGGATTATTATCGGATAGGGTAATAACTTCATAATTAACTACGTCTGAAAGCAGAAATCAGGGCAAATAACGAGATGCATTGTGGGACATGTAGTTTATGGGCAACGCAATTCTGTAAATCGGCAGGGAACCGTAAAATAAACGTATGAAAAGTATTTGCAAGCTCTTGCTTGACAAATGCCATTCTAAACCAAGCACCTTTCAAATTGCAGCTTACTAAAATGTTTTAAAGAGGATCTATATTCCTGTCTGCAGTCCTGGCAACTTTCTAATGTTAAGAAAGTCTTCAATGTTCTTACCTAATTTGATATAAAGTCATACGATCATAATTACAAAAATACTTTTGTTTTATATTTCTGTCAATATGGTCATATGACTGTATTTTAAAACAAAGTGTATTTAAGCTCTTAAAAAAATATTTGGGCTGGGTTTCGCTGTTTATTGATTTAAAATGTTTTAATAAGAAGTGGTTGATGCTTTTATTCATTAGAAGTATTTATTTTAATTATTTTATAACACTTTATTTTTCGCTACGCACTTTGTTTTAATTCTACTTCCGGTGTGAGAGGTTATTCCAAAATGGCGCCGTCCAAGAAGAAACATGCTAGTAACCAGGCTTGTGTTATTCCTGGAGGATTTACAGGTATTTATCATAAAAATTAATTATATTATTATCAGATTTCCCTTAAAATAGTGATTACATCTCTGACTCGAAGTGTTTTTGCCGTTTTACACGGTTTGAGTGTGTATAACACGTTAGTCTGTTTGCCTGTTGATACAGGGTTACTGTCTAATTGTTTTGGCTTTAATTACATGTCCCTGTGTCTCTTCTCAGTGCTGTCTGTACAGTTCAATTCAGACAGTGTTGCTCAACACAAGCTGTACGTGAAGGAGCACAAAGTCCGGTCAGACCGGAGCTCACACAGACCGATGGACCGGACGCTGTTTGTGCTCAACATCCCTCCATACTGCTCAGAGGTATTATAGAAACAGTGTGCAGAGTTTTAACAAACAATGTGTGCTTCAGAGGTGGGAGAAGTACTCAGATCTTGTACTTCAGTAAAAGTAGAAGTACCAGAGTGTAGGGATACTATGTTACAATAAAAGTCCTGCATTGAAAATGTTACTCGAGTAAAAGTAGAAAAGTATTAGCATCAAAATATACTTAAAGTAGCAAAAGCAAAAGTAGTCATTGTGCAGATTGGTCCATTTCAGAATAATATATATATGTTTTGTAATTATTGATCATTAAAGTGTTCTCAAAGCTGGTATAGGTTGAACTAATTTGTATTATTCTACTCAACGCTGTTTGGTTTGTAAATCTTCTCCAGGTGTAACAACTCTTACTAAGTGATAACTGTATTTTTTTATACTATTATTAGTCCAAATCTGCAAAGGTATTAAATACATTTAGTGTAGTAAAAGTACAATATTTAACTCAATACTGACTTGTAGTGGAGTAAATGTACTTACTTTACACCACTCTCTGCTTTTAGATGATTTCTTAATATGAAAATGTATTATCCTTTAAATAAAGTATTTCTTGCGATGCTACTGTCTGTGTTTCAGGACGTTGCCAAACAGATGTTCTCTCAGTTCGGTTCTGTTCAGTCCGTGGAGCTGAGGGACCATCCCGGTTCCTCTCAGGACTCTGGACCCAAGGTGTCCAAGTTCTTCAGCCCAGCTGCCAAACAGGTCAGCAGCTCTTTCTGCTCTAATGGGAAAACATCCACTATCATATATGGCATTTTTAAGGGTAATTATGTGGCTGAAAGTTACATGCTCTCTATTGATACCAGGACAGCAGAAAGACTACATATCTTCTGTTTGCCGACGGAAAACCCTCCCATTCCACTGCACCGTGGCCAATGATAACAAACACATTCAAAACGTGTCTCTTAGCTATGTAGCGTTTGGCTCTTTTAAAGCCAATGCAGTCGCACTTAAAATAGTTTGTCTCATTGAAAGCTGGATACTATTTGTTAAGAGTTTATCTCCATGGTTGATTGCATGTATTGTAAGTCACTTTGGTTAAAAGCATCAGCCGAATTCAAATTAAATGTTTTTTGTTTGTTCCTTCCAGGGTTTCAAAGTGGGCTACGTTGTGTTTGAAAACTCCTCCAGTATAGCAGCAGCTAAATCACATCCTCATAATGTTCCTCTGGTGGTCTGCACAGAGAAGCATCGGGTGAAGACAGGAACACAGAGTGAGTGCTACTGTATTTAAATATCATTTAATTTAATGTTTTATTTTATTTTTGATATGCACTTTTAATTGGCTTGTGTTGAAATGTGCTATATATAAATGACCTTGTTTTGCCTCACTGTGATGAATGTAACTGCAACTAACTTTTATTCTCAGTACCTATTAACCTGTTATTATCTAGATTGAATTATTTGGTCTATAAAATGTTAATCCTAGTTTCCAAAAGCCTGTCTTAAGGTTGTCTTGTTCTGTCTTTCCAAAACCCACAGATATTGAGTTTTGATCGAAACAGAGAAAGCAGGACATTTGGTTTTGAGAGGCTGAAAGCAGCGGTTTTTGCATGAACAATGACTTCAAGGATTAACCAAATTAGTAAAAATAAATCTTTAGTTGAACACAAAGTCCTTGGTTAACCAATCTTTGCAGGTGTAATTAATCAGTTTATTAATAGGGCGGTTTGCGTTGCATTTCCATTTTTTATAATAAGTCTAGTAGTACAATATCCGTGTTTATCGAGCACATTTAAACACAAATCAAATCCACCTCTTGACTCATTCCCCTTTGTTTCTCTTATTTACACCAGAATGGATTCAGCAGTACACAGAATCTTTCATTCATACGGATAACCTGCAAAAAATAGTCGACTCCTTCATGGAGGGCTACGACAAACGGAAAAAGGAGGTGAGAAATCTGCAGCTCATAGCGTCTCAATGCCATCTATCCAACATGTGGACTTTAAGATGTGTTTTCTGTCTCTTAGGAAGAGGAGAAGCAGAAGGAGCAGGCCGAGCAGCAACAGGAGGATGAGGAGGGCTGGGTGAAAGTCACCAGAGGAACGAAGGCCCGCCCCCACAGCGAGGCAGCCAATAAGAAGACTCTGCAGAAGGAGATCAGGAAGAAGAAGAGGAAGGAGCTCATGAACTTCTACACCTGGCAGCACAGAAACACCCAGAAAGAACGTAAGTAGAAAACGATACTCTACCTGCCCACTATAGTAGGAGATAAAGAATCTTTTCACAATAAAAGGCCTTGTTGGGGCTAACTATGTATATTCTTCATTTGTTTTTCAGATATTGCTGAACTAAGGAAAAAGTTTGAGGAGGACAAACAGAGAATAGCTCTCCTGAGGGCGCAGAGAAAGTTCAAACCTTACTGAATCAACTTCCTTTCATTCCTCGTTTCACTGCTTTGTGTGTTTGTTAGCATAACCTGGAGCATTTCTTTGTCATAAACTATTAAACTGACTGACTTATTTTCATCATTATTGAATTAGTGGCACCTCACAGGAGAAGAATTACATTTAAGAAATAATAGGCGCTTTCACACCGGAGTACTTTTCCCGTTTAGTTCCGATAGTGCCTGGAATTTTGCGTTCACACCAAAAAGAGAACTTAGTTCATGAGAACTTTTAACCAATTTTCGGTCTCTGCTAGAGAGGTGGTACTTTCCTGGGGAGAAAACAAGTTCACATTTCTGATTGGCTGGGCGAATTGCAAACCACGCCCCGTAAAACTCGGAAACGTTTTTTGAAGCCGCCATTGTATTTGCTGGCATTAGCATTATTAGCATTAGCCCCGCGCACCAACTTCCGTCCGGGGACTTCTGGTGGCAGTATACGCCGTGAAGTTGTTAGCGGACTGCCAGTGAACCCAAAGCAGCAGAAGAAGAAGTGACGTCAGCGGCTCATTTGCATAAGCTTCCCTCAGGGAACTTATTCCGGTGTGAACGTGATCTGTACTTAGTTCCATGGGGGTACTAAGTGCTGGGAACTAATATAAGTACTTGGTGTGAAAGCGGCTAATGTATTTCATTTGGGACAAATGACCAATTCCGTTTTTTATAAATAAATCTGTTATCGGCAAGTAAAAACAATATTTGGGCCTGGATTTTATAAAAAGTAAGTAGCCATAATCAGGGTTCATACACTTTTTCACCAATGATTTTCAATGACTTTTCCATGACCTTTTCCTCATTTTCCATAACCAAAAAAAATTACTCTTTCTCAGCAGTACCACTGAAAATGGTTTATTTTAACATGGAACAGGAAAATAAGGTCTGCATGTTGTCCATCCATCCATCCATCCATCTTCTCCCGCTTATCCGTGGTCGGGTCGCGGAGGTAGCAGTTCCAGCAGAGAGCCCCAAACTTTCTTTTCCCTGGCCACATCAACCAGCTCTGACTGGGGGATCCCAAGGCGCTCCCAGGCCAGNCCTTTACCTAATTTTCCATGACCAAAAAAAATTACTCTTTCTCAGCGGTACCACTGAAAATGGTTTTTATTTTAACATGGAACAGGAAAATAAGGTCTGCATGTTGTGCCTATCTAAAACAAATCAAATAGGCTTACTAGCTTCTACACGCTAATGCAAATAAA